TGTCATGGTGCATGCCTGCAATATTAGTTACTGTAGAGGCTAAAGCCAGAGGATCACAACTGTGAGGCCAGCCCCAGCAATTCAGCAATACCCTGAGGAAAAGTAAAACTTTTCAAAGGGCTAAGAATGCAATTCAGTGATAGAACACCCTGGCTTTAATCCCCAGTATCACAGTAGAAGGGGAAAAGAATAACAACAAATAAAAAAGAGACCTATTTCTCTGCAAAGTTACACAAAACAATATTTTTAAAATTTCATATTATACAATATTAAAATGAAAATCCTATTCATAAAATGGTGTCATTAAAGGGTGCAAAGAGAAGTGACAGAGTCAAAGAAACTAATTTCCTCACATATAATCAAACACAGGAAGAAAGGTTTAGAGAGACACCCCAAAAGAAAAGCAGGCAAGAGACTTGAAAAATAACTTTTTATAGGAGACATCTAAGTGTTCAATAATCATAAAAGACTCAACCTGTTTGGAAATTAGAGAAATGTAAAATAAAATCACATCATACACACAAAACTAAATAGTATTAAAGAACATATGAAGTCAATGAATACTCATGAAGTGAAGGTGGAGTTTAAGTTGTCATTATCTATCTGTGGAAACTATTTTGCCACTAAAGATACATGATACTCCCCCACCAGAAACAGAGGCTCCTAGAAATGGCAGCACACATGAACCCTAATGACATAGAAGGACACAGCTGTATTGCTCAAAGGCCTGAGGCCCAGGGGTGTGCCTAAGGAGCCTGCACACTCAGAAAGAGGAACAACAAACTGTAGGAAATAATGGTTTTCAGGAGCCAGACACATTTATGTCATAGTACATAAAATTATTAAAATAGTATACAACATGTCAGTTTTCAATAAATGTCACACAAATGTTGTTTTTAACACATAAGCATATTTTTAAAGAAATGTGTAGAATTTATGAGAAAATAAAATACACATAAGAACATAAAAGACTCAATTACATACCCCATGCATAGATGACAAAACTCTTCAATATCAAGATGACCATTTCCCCAAGTTAATCTAGAATAATATTCCATCAAAATTTCATCATGCTTTATTTTAATAAAAGAAGGGACCACAGCAAAAAGTTCTGACATTCTTCTGGAAGGATAACTATGTGTCCAATTAGCCAAGAAATCTCTGAACTACAATAGCAAAAGCAGCAGCTATCATTTCCTGACTCTAATGTATATGAGTGAACTATATTATTACAATAATAAAGACCCAAGAATCACAACACAGAACATTCCACAGATACATCAATATATATATCAAAACCATTTGTATTGTTAAGTGCAACAGAAGGGCCTACACATCCAACCACATCAAGAAATGTATTTAGGGCTGGGTTTATGGCTCAGTGGTTAAGCACTTGCCTCGTATGTGTTAGAGTCTGTAAACAAGTCTGGATGGCGCCTGGCATATTGCCAGAGGGAGTGGTTTGTGAAGTAAGGCCAGGAGCCATTAAGTGTGGAGATTTCTTATTGGTTGACTGCTGTATCTAGTTTATGCTAATTAAGATAAGCTGTGTGGAATGTATAACTACCTCTGTTGTCCTATAATAAACGGCTCCCACTCCTGCTGTATCAACATACACAAGTTGTTCGTCACCCCCCGGTTATTTTGCTGCAGCCGGACTGCGGCAGTATGCAGTGGGCACACTGGGTTCGATCTTCAACATCACATAAATATACAAATAAAATAAAAATATTGTGTCTATCTACAACTAAAAAAAAAAAAAAAAAGAAAGAAAAGAAAAAAAAGAAATGTACCCAGGTACTGATGTTCATGAGACACTCCAAGAGAACTTAGACAGCTGTGAGATCCTCACATCAGGCAGTTCTGAAACATGGGTCCAGGGCATAATAAGAACCCAGTGACATAAAGTCTACATGGGGGAAAGTCATCTTGACAAGGTGAGGATGGACACACACAAGTTTACACTACCTGAGGTTTTTTTGGTTTTGTTTTGTTTTGTTTTGGTGCTGGGGATTAAACCCAGGGGCACTCAACCCTTGAGCCATATCCCAGCCCTTTTTTGTATTTTATTTAGACACAGGGTCTCACTGAGTTGCTTAGGGCCTTGCTAAGTTGCTGAGGTTGATGGATCTCAGGATGCTCCTGCCTCAGCCTCCTGAGCCACTGGGATTACAGACTGTTATAACAGACTCAGGGCCACCAAGCCCAACACCACGTGACTTTCATAAAGATTCACATAAATGTTGTATCTCACATGGGAACATATTTGTTAAGAGAAATGTGTAGGATTTATGAGAAACTAAAATATACAGAAGTCCATAAAAGACTCCATTACACATCCCATGCACCAGTAACAAAAGTCATCATTACAGCAATGACCATTTCCCCCATACTTATCTATATTATCCCATCAAAACTGCTCTGCACATATATGAAAATATCACAGTGAATTTCACCGTTAAGTTTATCTATAAAGCAGTAGTTTAAAATATAAATAAATAGAAGGAAGACCAGGAGAGGAGGGGGAATGGGGAACTAGGAGGAGAGGGAAAGGGGGAAGTACCACTAAAATGGAGCAAATTAAACTCATGCTTGAATAATTGCAGCAAATGAACCCCAATAGCATGTATGACTATAATGCACTAATAAAAAAAATCAGCATGCTTTATTTGTAATGGAATAAGGAACGAAAGAATAAGTTTCTATAATTTATCCACTAAGTTAAACACATGTTGACTTAGCATGAAAAACCAGCCTCTACCTCAGAGCAAAGCCTGTCCAAGGAAGGGACATCACCTTTGTCCTTGGAAGGACCCACAGAGCACTCCTAGGCACATTCCCACCCTGTTAAGTTGTTTATCTACAAATAACAGGAGAGATCTGCTGTGCCAGGTGTCCCTGACTCAGTCAGGCTAGGTGGGGATCCATAACAACCCCCTAGCAGCCACCAATCAGCATGAGACAGGGAAATACCTGGGATGCCAGATGACCCTCCCAGTAGTTTATGGTGGTTGATAATATGTTGGGAAACCATGTAGTTCAGCGCGAACACCCCTCTTGGCTTAAACCAATCAGTTCAAATGAATACCCCTTTTGTACTGACCAATCACCCCTACCCAACTTGTTCCCGCCAGTGAATGTACTAATAATGTTTTAGAGTTGTTATTTGATTTTCCTGCGGTGTATGATGATTTGCTAAGAGATGCTATGATGTATGTGGGGGTCCCTGCCTTCTCCAAAGAATGTATAAAACTGCTTCAAACCCTGGGCTCGGGGCCTCTCAGCGTCACCAGTTGCTGTGTGCACGCGGAGGACGGAGCTAGCTTGCAATAAACACCTCTTTGCTGCTTACATCGATCTTGGTCTCTGGTGGTCTTTTGGGGGTCCTGAATTTGAGCATAACAGCAGAGAAACCTTTTACTTATAAGAGCAAAAGAAGTAGCTATCATTACTAGATAGTGTATATCATGAAACTATAACACTACCATAATAATCAAGGATTCACAGTATAAAAAAAAATCCATAGATGAATCCATATAATTGTTTTTGTCTTGTTGTTGTTTGTTTATTTGGTACCAGGGATTAAACCCAGGGGTGCTTAACCACAAAGCTTCATCCTGTTTTTTCTGAAATTTTATGTAGAGATGTGGTCTCACTGAGTTGCTTAGAGTCTTGATAAGTTTTTGATGCTGGCTTTGAACTCCCAATCCTCCTGCCTCAGCCTTCAGGGCCTCTGGGATCACAGGTGTGCATCACCGAGCCCAGTTTATTGGCATCAGATTCACCATTTTAGGTCAGGAGCCATTTTATCTAGAGGCTTTTAAATTTCCATTTTGAGGCAACACTGCTTAGCTTCCCACAAGAACATGTGAGCTCTGAAGGATCCAACCCCACCCCAGCTTATGATGAAACCCCTAAGCAGCTTAAGGAACTCCTCCTCCAGCTAAATCCTGCCCTGGGAGGGCTGAGGCTTTGCCTCCTGCTACTGACAATAAAGCTCTGGCTTGGGATTCTGGGCTGTGGCCTGGTGTTTGGACTTTGCCTGGACATTGCAAGTGTCCTTTCACGGCTGAAACTTGTACTCTTAAATCCAATAGAAAGGTCTGTATAAATCCGACCATATCTAGGCCAGTCTCAGCAATTTAGCTACACCCTGTCTCAAAATAAAAAATAAAAAGTACTCATGTAGCCCCAAAACAACCACTAGCAAAATTAAGTTTCTCTTCTTGTCACCAAGATTGTTATAAAGAATGTCAGCAGTATTTTTCCTCCAGAGCGCTCACTGTGGGTTGAGCTTGCTCTTTCTTGTAAAAGCCAAGTTTGCAGACAGATGTCACAGACTTCTCAGGGAGCTTGCTGAACAGAAGCTTCGCTTTTGTTTCCCTTGGTAACAACCTGTGTCACCTACAAATATGGGATAAGGAGTAGCTGCCCTGTAACCACGCACTGACTATAAATCTCAGAGAAGTTCCCTACCAGGGTCCCCGCGTTGCTCCATCTGGACGGCTGCAACTTAAGTAAACCTGCTGCCCGCGAATTCCTCAGGTGCCGCCCCCTCCGCCCTACATCAGAACCAGGGATGGAGCTCCTGGTAAAGCACCCTGCGGAAGGAAGGTTGGGAAGGAGGGAGAAAAAGCAAGAAAGCCAGCTAGCTTAGGAGGACGGCGGCAGCGAAGCCCAGAGCCACTGCTCCTCTCCTGCAGGAAAATCCCACGTGGAGAGACTTCTCCAACCGCCATCCCGCCTGTCAATCACCACCCACCTGGGAAGACCGGGCTGCTGACTCTCTAGGGCTAGCTGAGCGGGTGCAGCAGGCTGGGCAGGAGCTCTGCTGCCGATAAGCTCCCGACCTAGCTGGCCAGGGGGACTGAGGGGGCGCTGCCAGGAGGAGGGCTCAGGCCGCGGACCCCGGAGTCCCCAGCAGCTTCTGGCCCCACCGCAGCCGTCCCGCGGTTCCAGCGACCTCCTTCCCCGGGCTCAAGAGGCCCCGCCACACTCACCATTTCCTGGCGCTCGGGAGCCAGGCGGCTACCAGGGATCTTCAGCACCCTCAGGGCAAAGCCAGCGGGACCCCAGGGCTGGCGACGGAAGCCGAAATCGCGAGAAGGGCGGCTCAGAAGGAAAGGGCCCGGCCAGACGCGGAAGCCGCCCTGGCTGTGCCAGGATTGGACGGTTCTCCCCGAGTGCTCTCCACTGCACAGGGCTGCAGACCCGCCCCGCAGGCTGAGCCCAGAGACCTTCTTTCTGAGTGACAGTAGATGACGTCCAACCTAGGAATCAGTGAGGCCAGAATGACAGGTTCCTGGCGGCAGTTTCCTCCTGAAGTCTGTGAATTGAACAAGAGGGCCTCAGGCTACAGCTAATCCTAGGCGAATTTTCCTCTTAAAAGAGTGATCTACTTTTTGTATAACCCTGAGGGTCTCCTTCCATTTCCATGCAAAGTACATACAAGAGGAAGTGAGGGGAAAGGGAAAAATAATACAAGGGGGAGAAATGAATGACAGTAGAGGGGGTAGAGAGAGAAGAGGGGAGGGGAGGAGGGATAGTAGAGGATAGGAAAGGCAGCAGAACACAACAGACACTAGTATGGCAATATGTAAATCAATGGATGTGTAACTGATGTAATTCTGCAATCTGTATATGGGATAAAAATGGGAGTTCATAACCCACTTGAATCAAAGTGTGAAATATGATATATCAAGAAATTTGTAATGTTTTGAACAACCAACAATAAAAAATTTAAAAAAAAAAAAAAGAGTGATCTAGCAGCTCCAGAGGTCGTGTGCGATGAACCTCGCATACAAGGTGACTTCACCTTATGAATCATATGTCTGCATTGTATTCACTGGAAATAATATAATAATATAATGACAATCACTTTGCAATTTCACTTAACTTTCCTGCTCTCTCGCCCTGTGAGTCTGCAGATTGGCCTGGGAAGCAATCCCCTAAGGCAGCAATGGCCAATGAAAATCCTATGTGAATCACAAGGGTCATTTAAAATTTCCTAATATTCACATTAAAAAATTAAAACAGGTGAAATTGATTGTAACGACATAAACCAATATATCCTGAATATTATCCAGATTATTATCGTTGTGCTAATGTAACCCCAAAAGAATGGTAGCAGGATTTCTTCTTTTTTTTTTTTTTCTTTCAGAGAGCTCATTATGGTTTGAAGCTTCATCTTTCTTGTAAATGCCAGGTTTGCAGACTGTTGTAACAGGCTCTGTCTCAAGAGAGCTTGCTGTAAAAATGTTATTATTTGTTTTCCTTGGAAAAACCTGCCTGTCCCAAAAATTTGGGACAAAGACTCTCTGCTATGTAACCACCCACTGTTATGTAAACACCCACTGAAGATGAATCTCAAAGGATTTATCAACCCTGGATCAGAGATTATCCAGCCTTAGTTCCTCTGGACCACTAAAGCTAATCAATCTGAGGTGTGCAAATTCCTTGAGACTCAGGCCTCATCTGTCCTGCATCAGTGTGACCCATATGAAATCATCAATGAAGCATATGTAGATTAGGAAGTATATCCCCAAACTCACTGGACTTAAAGCCTCCAGCATATCTCATTTTGTAGCAAACACATTCAAGATTTGACAGCTATAGGTGCCCTGTCCTCTGAAATGTGAAGGGCCTGGTTACCTGTTTTTTATGACAGAGATGAGAGACACAGTTTCTTATTAATAATTCTCCTCCGACCCAACCTACCAGGAGACAGTGCCCTGAGTGAGGAAAGGGAAGTGTCCATAGTAGGTCACTCTCTCCCACTGGAAGATGGCCACAGGTCCATTCCCATTGCAGCTATCAGAGAGCAAACAAAGGAAAATGGGGTCCTAGGAGGTGGGGGACACATGTCTTCAGATCTGTCCACAGACTTGACTCTATTGTTTCAAACATGAAATGAATACTTTTTATTTGACAATTTGGCCTTAGACCTAATGGCCAGGCTGTTTCATCCTGTGGCCAAAGCCCCATGGCTAATTAGCAGCTGGACTGGGACTCAGCATGAGCTGTACCTTATTCCAAAGCCAAAACCCCTCCACCAGACCAAAGGACTCATGCAACATTGCTTATTCTCAAAAAACTTGGAAAGTGACAAATATTTAAAAAAAAAAAAAAAAAAACCCAGCACTTGTGATTATATGTATATGGAACACAGTACTATGTGTTACACATCATAATACAAATTGAACCTTCTTATATACTGAGTCATCATGAGACTCCAAATCCAGGATCCAGGAAAACTTGGTTCAGTTTACATCAAGGGCAAACACCAGCTAGAATTAATCTCAACTCCCCTTTGCAAATAAAAATATAGGCTGATTTTGAAAATGTGGTAGGTTTATGAATTATGGAACAGGCTGCTCTAGAGGGATGTAAAAGACCACCAAGTCCTATGATTTCAAACACAGGTGGACATGGGCTATACAGAAATGCAGGAAAAAAAAAAACTTCTTTATTGTAGGCATAGAATAAGAGGAGGGCAAGGGGACAGTGCCATGAAACATCTGATATAGGAATCTGGAGTTCAGACCAGGAAGATTCAACATGTTGTATTTGGGTGTGTGGATGGCATTAGTCCCTATTAAGAAAAGGTTATAGTAAACTTGCAAAAGAAAACTGGTATGAGTGGCAGATAGTGGTGAAATAATTATTATTTGCAAGGTGTCTTCCAGGGTTTTGTCAGTGATGGAGCCACAGCACATATGTGTTTAATAGCCTCCATGAGGATCTTCATCCAACTGAGTCCTCCAAAAACATCCCCAATACAGGGAAAACGTAGGCTTCTACATGTCAAATGGCTTCTTGGCAGTATGCATCCCAACTGGGAACTGCCCAGACACACGACTGTATGAAATTCCTTCAAACCTGCTCCTGTAGGGAGAAAACCTCTCTCCTCCATATTTAGAAGTGAGCACCTAGAGAAAACATTCCAGGAGAACCTTTGTCTTAAGAGGCACAGTTGCTTGTCCTTTTATGTTATGGGAGGTCTTCAGAGACAGAGCTGTCACCCCAGGTTCCTCCTAGGGGCAGATGCTTGGAGACTACAGGTGCAACAGAGCACATTACAGGGTCCAGAATCTGACTCAGGGAAGAACAAACCTAAATGACTGAGAATTAACTGAAAGATGACTCAAGCTGATCAGCTGGGAAATTGGAAATGAATGGAACAGTGTGATTTTATTTGCCACATGGACAAGAGATTGGCCAAAAGTAAAAAGGAGGCCAAAGCCCAGGGATTTCTGCCTGTAGAGAAGCAGGTACAGTCAGAGATTTCTGGTGGCAATGTAAGAGCTGCAGCTTCAATGTGACCATGCTCTGCCTGTAGCTACTGCAATGTTACATGTGCATATTCTTTCACTCAGTATTCCCTTTCTTCAGATTCTACCCTCATTAGGAAACCAGTTTACGTTTTCAGGTGAATTGTGTCCCCTCCCTAAATCTCACGTTGATGTTTTAACCATCCAGTGCCTCAGACTGTGACTGTTTGCACATATGATTCTTAAAGACATAATCAATGTTAATCTAGTTATTTGGTGTGGGGCCTAATCTAATTAAATCCATTTGTCCCACTTATAAGAAGTGACAATAAGGACACAAAGGAGCATAGAAATAATGTTGTGCAAATGTAGAGACAGAAGATGGTGATACATGTCAGAGTGGGTCTCAAAAGAAATTATTTCAGGTCTGGGGTTGTAGCTCAGTGGTAGAGTGCTCGCCTAGCATATGCAAGGCCCTGGTTCGATTTTCAGCAGCAGATAAAAAATAAAAGTAGGGGCTGGGGTTGTGGTTCAGTGGTAGAGTGCTCGCCTAGCTGTGCGAGGTCCTGGGTTCGACCCTCAGCACCACATAAAAATAAATAAACAAAAAAAAATTTAAAAAAATAAATAAATAAAAAATAAAAGTATTGTGTCCAACTACAACTAAAAAAAATTAATATTAAAAAAAAGAAATCATTCCAGCAAGCACATTGATGAGTAGCCTCTGGAATTAGGACCAAAGTAATTACTGTCCTTAAGCCCACCATTGTGGCAGTCTTATGGCAGCCCACTGGGACACACATACTGTCCCTGCAGCATGGCTGACTGAAGATGCAACTGGATCATATCACCTTCCTCCAGCACTGAAAGGCTGAACTGCTGCAAGAAATGGCTTTTCTTACTGGAGTATTCTGAAGGCAGGTGAGGAATCAGCTCCTTACCTGGTGGGAACATAGTAATGTGATTTGTGATACATCACAGTTCCAAAAACTATGCAGCAGAGTTTGACTCCCTTTGTTTGTGTAACCCTCAGTCCTCCTCATGGAAACACTTTCCTGGTAAGGCTGCTAGTTTTTAGGTCTTATAGAAGGACTAGAAGCACAGTGGAGTCAACCGCTACACGGGCTACCTGGGGCCAGATACTGAAGCAAAAACTAGTAACAGTAAAATAAAATTTAAAAAATACCCAATGCCCAGTACAAATTGAAAATGATGCCAAATGCTTTCTCTGTTATTTCTACAAGTATGTGATCTGAAGATTTATACCTACTATACTGCCAGGGTAGTAAATTCAGTCCAGATTCGTTTTGGAATGAAAATGCAGGTCATTTAAGTGGTAAAGTGCTCAAACAGAATATAGAGAAGTCCTCATACCGGGTATTATAACTTGCCCTATCCTGGCCATCTCAAGTACCTGCCTGTGGAAACCCTTCTCCAGAAGGGTCATCTAACCTCAGTCCAAAGATATTATTGTTGGTTATGTGTTGCACTTGATCTTTTCTCAAGTAGACACAGTTAAAAATGGCTCCCTGATGATCTGCGTGGCACTCTGCAAACAGATCACCTGACATTCAGTACAACATATAACACTGATGACCCTGGCTGGCCCCAGAGGAAACACTTCCATTGAAAAAATCTATTCCCAAATCAGGAATTTACAAATATACATATAGACCTCCATCTAGGGGTGACACCAGAATAAGAACCCTGGATAAATACCTGAGTAGAAAAATTACTATCCAATGCCTAAATATCCACCCTGGCCAGCCATGCCCAGTGGAAGACCACTAGAGTTCCAGCATCTGGTAATCTCCTCCTGTCATTACAGGTCCCCTGCAGTTCCCCTCTCCCCCACACATACACAC